ACTTTGCCCTTTCAGGTAAGTAGCAGCTACGACCTTGACCCTTCAGACATCCTACAGCTACGACTTCGGAACTGTCTAGACTCCTACCCTACAAGTCTACAGTTCGATTCCCTTCTAAGTTGTGACCTACGAAAACCTGCCTACCACTGGCGGTCCTACAGGTCGCAGGTTCAAGTCTACGGGTTGACACTGATACTATACACAGGTAAGACGGGGAACTAGGGATCGGGCCCTGGGATCTGCATTCGCTACTGCGAACTGGTGAATACCGTTTCGCTCCCGCAGGCCTAAATTCGAGGTCCTCCGAGAAAATTTCAGTCCAAGGCAGGACCTTTACCCCTCTGCTGTCTCTCGTAGGCTCGGACTATATCGGGAGCTGTTTCTAGAAGTTCAGATCTTGTAAACCAGTGGTCGTCTTCCGGTTCTTGATAGCTAAAATGAACCTTATACTGTTTTTGTGGACGACCCCTACCTCCAGTCCTGAAGACATCTTCAGTCACTATCCCATCAATGTCGTACCTTCCATCCATATCCGGTGGGATCATGGACCTACGGGATGGAAACTGATCACTTGTCTGACAAGGTAGTAACTTCGATGCGTGGAAAACTGGGTAAGTGTGGAGGTGTGCTGGTAACTCTATGGTGTAGGACGGTCCATCTTCGCCGCCGTTGACTTCCAGAACAGGCCACGGCCCTCTATATGTGGGCAGTAACTTCTGCGAGATGTTCTCCTCAGGTGCAAATTCTCTAGAACTAACCCAAACTAAGTCGCCTACCTGAAACTGTGAAGGGCGACGGTGTTTGTTCGCTTGCTCTATCATCTTATGCTGGGCTTTCCTAAGGTTCTCGACAACAGTAGCTAGCTCTTTCTCGTGCTGTATAGCAAACTCCCTGGTCCCGGGCGGCAATCTATGAATCTGATCCCGGTTGAGCCCCTCAAACGGTCTGCGTGGTCGAAAGGACTTGTGCAGTTCGTTGGGAGTGCGGCATGTAGCCAAATGCACGCTGTTATTGTACGCACTAGCTACTTTGGGCAACATCTCATCCCAGTTAATCTGATCCGGCCTAATATACATGCGCAGAACTTGCTGTAGGATCTTGTTCATTTGCTTTGTCGGACCGTTAGTCTCTGGATGACGGCCGGACGACATCAATAACTTAGACCCATATACTCCCATGAGTTCTTGCCAGTTCTGGCTGGTGAAGCAACTATCTCTATCGCTAACTATTGACATCGGGATTCCATTCTCACTAACCCAACAGTCAAAGAATCTCTGTATGACTAAATCAGTACATGCCTCTGAAGGCAAAGGAACAAAAACTGCGTATTTACTAAATCGGCCAACTATGACCATGACTTGGCTCTTGCCATGCCTGCTCTTGACTTGAGTGTCCATGAAGTCGATGGACACTGAGTCCCCCGGCTGGTCCGGAATGGGCAAGGGTCTGAGAAGACCTAGCGGGGCACGCGTAGAACTCTTGTTACGCTGGCAAACCTTACAACTGCGAACATACTCTACGCAATGGAAATGCACAACCGGTCAAAGACATTAGTCTTCTCAAACAGTAACCCTTTAGTAGTGCGGTAGTTCGGCTCGGTCTCTGGGGCCTCTTTGACTTTCTTAAGGCGGTCACTATAGATAGGATCCTGCGCGTACTCTTCTTTAACCCTTTGCTGCAGGTCCTTCCCTATATCAAGATAATGCACTATTGCCCCAAAGTAATCCGCCCTTCTACTCAGAGCATCCGCGACTACGTTGTACTTCCCTTTGACAGGCTTGAGCTCGAAGTCGTACTGGTCTATCTCTGCGGCCCACCTAGTAAGCTTAGGTGTCATCTTGGCGTGCGTCTTTAACCATCGTAACGTTTCATGGTCAGAATAGACTTTGAAGTGCCTCCCAAGCAAGTAGTGCTTCCAATGGTCTAACGCTTGCCTGAGAGCGTAGAGTTCCCTCTCATAGGTAGATGTCGCGACCTTCTCTGACGGCATCCTGGCAGACATGAACTCTACGGGTCTATACCCATTGCCATCGTCTTGCTGCAACACCGCACCTATGTCGTACTGGGTAGCATCCATAGTGACGACAAAAGGCAAGGACGGGTCGGCTACCTTAAGGACCGGGTACTCTATCAATGCCTGCTTCAACTTTTTCATGGCAGACGTGCAGTCCTTGTCCCACTTCTAGATGGTCTCCTTCCTGAGTAATCTGCGAAGGGGTGCAGCGATAGTGGAGAAGTTCCTCATGTACTTCCAGTAGTAATTAGCTAAGCCCAGGAACGAGCGCAACTCTGTGAGCGTACGTGGCGTGGGCCAATCTCTAATCGCTGCGATCTTGCTATCCTCTGGCTTAACGTCGTCTCCGTCTAAGACGTGGCCTAGGTACAAAACTTGGGTCTTCGCCCAATCACACTTCTTTGCATTGATCTTGAAGTTAGCTTCCCTCAGCTTCTCCAAGACCTGCCTGAGATGACCCTGATGCTCTTCAAGGGTCCGGCTAAACACTAAGATGTCATCTAAGTAAACTACAACAAATCTGTCTAACCACGGCCTAAGCAAATCGTTCATGCAGCGCTGGAACGTAGCTGGCGCATTGGTTAGTCCAAAGGGCATCACTATGAACTCGTAGTGCCCATATCTAGTCCGGAAGGCTGTCTTATACTGATCATCAGGATGCACCTCTATCTGATGATATCCGGACTTCAAATCTACCTTGGAGAAATACTTCGCCCCCTGCACTCGATCTAAGAGATCGTCTATCCTAGGCAGTGGCTCAGCATTCTTCACTGTAATAGCATTCAGACCCCTATAGTCTATGCACATTCTCAGCTCTCCTTCTTTCTTAGGAACAAAGAGRACAGGCGCTCCGAAAGGAGACGAACTGGGCCTAATCCAACCCTTCTCCAGGAGTTCGTCTAATTGCTTGCGAAGCTCCTCTAACTCCCGCGGGGACATCCTATATACAGCACCCTTAGGAGTTCTACTGCCAGGCTCTATCTCAATACGGTGCTGGATGGGCTGCGGCACCGTGCCTGTCGGCGGCTCAGTCAAATCTCTAAACTCTTCCAGCAGCTTGGCAATCGCAGGGTCCATCGGCCTTTCTTCCGTAGGCTCAGTCACTGGCCTAACATAGGCAACAAAAACCTGTTCCTCCAACTTCTCCCTTTTCACCAGTCTGGCGAACACGGGGGCACTAAGGCAGCAATGCGCCAAGGAATTCTCTACCCCTGACACATGGAACAGGCGGGCAGTCTGGGCCTCGCCTGACGAACTAGGGAGCCTACACTCGTGCTCCTTCAAATGGAGCGTGGCCCCAGCTGCCTCTCCCCAATCCATTCCCAGAACAATATCAAATGGGAGGCTGTCTTCTACGAGGAGAGTCAGGGAGTGGAGGATCTTCTCCACTTTCCTATCTTTCTCTAGGCGGAAATACGCCTGGACACCCTCTACGTAATCCTCTACAACCATGGTACGGTTGTCTGCGAGGATACTAACTATGGGGTCTGTCAATTTCTGGACTTTAAGTCCCAGCCTTTACTTCTGCAGCGCTTTCCTACTGATATAGCTGCGGGTGGCCCCTGAGTTTACTAGGGCCCCTACTCTAGCTCTAAAAATCTTTGTATCTAGTAAAATCAGCTGCCCTTTATTTTCTTTCTTCATCTTGGCCCAGGCGGGCCTCCTCTCCTTCAATTCTTCGGTCACGCCTGTGAGGGAGGTGTCTAGAGAGATCCTAATACAAGCGGTCTCTGGGCAGCTATCTACACACCGGCCTGCAACCTCTGCCATAGGCACATGTGGTGTGGGAGTCTCCTGCCGGCTAGCGCTATGTTCCCCACATGGCCTAATGGTAGGGGCAGTTGCTACCCCTACCGGCGGCTGCCTTTTAGCCCTTGGGCAGCCGTTCGGGTCTCGCGATACTTAGGACAATATTTAATGATATGGCCCGGGTCACCGCAAAAACTGCACTGGCCCCTGTCCAATCGTTGTTGCCATAAAGTCTGGTCCAGACCCAAAGATTCCCAAGGCCTACCCTGAGGTAGCCATGGGTGCCATCCGCCTACCCTATAGGGAGACCTGTTTCTAGGACGGTTTTGCGGGGGACCTTGACCCCTGCCTCCCGCTTGGCGGTTTCCTCCTCTGCCGCCAACCCCCTGATCGCCCTGAAATCGGCTCCCTGAGGCCCGACCCCCTTGGCCCTGGCCTCGTCCTCCTCCTTGCGGCCTCCCTCCGGCCGCGACAGCAGCGTAAGTTCTCCCCTGACCCACACCGCTGTCATCTTCCTCTAACCCCCACTCAATCTGGTTGTAGGGGAACTCATCCACACTACCCTCATCTAGAGTTAGGACAAGGCTATCCTTAGTCTTCACCTGCCCTGAGATAGTGCAGCCTTTCCATTGTTTGCCCTTCTCCAAGTCTTTGTGCCAGAAGGTAGACACAGATGCAGACTTGGCTTCAAAGGCCACCACCTCACGACTAAGAGAATCATAGGTAGTGGCCGGATCTTCGCTCTTCGCAAAGAAGTGCCCTCTCAAGGCTTCGGGGATAGCCCGGTAGAAGAGGCCGACCAATTGGGTGTCTGTGACCCCATGGTCAGGAACAACGATTAGTTCATCCATCGTGCTCTTGAGTGCCCTGGCCCTCTTCCACTTATGAGCGTGGATTGTCTGGAGCCTATCTGAGGCCTTGACACTTCGAGCGACATCTGCAAATCGCTCGCGCAGCAATCTCATAAACTCAGTGAGGGATGTAAAGGACGAATAGGCAACCGGATCATCATTGCAGTTAGCGGCGCGCACTAGGGACGTTGCAAAACTGGCGGCCTCATCTTTAAGCGCGTGGATCGCGATCAGGACATGCTGATTTGGGGAGACCTGTTGCAGATGCACTTAGGTCTTAACGTTGGCTTCCCAATTGTCAAAGTTCTCTTCCCTATTCCCACTATAGGAATCAGGGAATTTGACCTTGACTAGCTCTCTATGCGGCGGGCATGGTTCCTCCTCCTTGGGAGCTGCCACTTTGACGCCTTCAATGGCGCCGACGCAGAAACGCTCTGTCTTCTCGAGGCGATGATTCACCTCGGCTCCTATCAGTTCACGCGCAAAGTCTCGGAATCCCATTTGCATCGAGCGCACAGCTATGTCCTGGCTTCGGCTAAATTCGTACTGCTGCTCTTGTATCTTTGCTAACCGCTCAACGCTCTGGGCAAGGATCTCTACCTTTCGTTCGAGGTCTACCTGAGGGGTCAACTTTAGGCTTAGTTTCTGCACTTCTTCTAATTCCTTGACCGCCTCACTCGCCGCCTCCACCCTTCTCTTCTTCTCTCTCATCATCGCGAGTTTCCACTCCATCCTCTGTTCATCCTCCATCGCCTGTCGCTTTAGCACATCCCTTTCTGCTTCCCATTTCTTCAGGGCGGCTTCCTGGTCATCTTTGGGGATATACATAGTCACTTCTTCCTCCTCTCCCAAGGACAAGTTTGCAACCCACTCTGAAATCTGTTTCTCCATCTCATCATCCATGTTGCCACTGTGGTGCCCTCTCCTTCTTTCTAGTGGCGGTCCCTCATCTTCTTCCTCTTCCACCTCTTTCGGCTTCTCCTCTTCTTCTTTCTTTATTCTCTCCTTCTCTCTGGCCATCTCTTCCTATATCTTCTTCAATTTGGCCGCCTGCTCCTCCTTCAAGGCCTTCTTCTTGGCCTCCTTCTTCTCCTTCCTCTCCTGCAAGATGGCGGCCATCTTCGCCTCCTCCTCCTTTGTGTACGGCATGGTGGAGGTGCCGCCCCGGGTGTCGACCATGGTGGTGTCAGGTGCACGACAAAGGTCCCACTCCTCACCACTTGGATCTACCTAGACACAAACTTACTGCCTGGCTTCCTAAGGACCACAGGATAAGACCCTATCAACTATGGTCACTAACCCAAGACTACTCTAAGGCTGTCACTACTGAACAAAAAGCTGATCTGGAGGCATTTAAGGAGATCTCCCATAACTGCTTAAGAATTATTTAACGTCGCAGTCAGGACGACGTGATCAGCGTGGTTCTTCCTGGCGATTTCAGCCCACAACTCAGCCGTTCCGGCGTACTGTGCCACACCGAGCAGCCCGCCGGTCTGTACCGGTCCTTGGAGGGGTTCGTATCCCTCGGGACAGTCGATTCGTCAGACACAGATCATCAGCCTTACTAGGTCCGGTAGGGGAGTGGTTCAACCAGGCCTCAACACTTAAAGACGGCCTTCGTTTCAGCCTACAGCTCGGAGTTCGGACCCTCTACATTGAACTCAGTAGACCTGCCGGACAGTACCAGTCATTAGGCTAGACGAGTTGTTTAACGAGCGCTCGCCGCTCATGCCCAGGTCTCCCGATGCCAGAGTAGAGATTAGTCCTACTAAGTCCCGTGCAGGTTTGGCAGCAAGGCCCTATCCTTCATCCACAGAGTCCTATCACCTAGGACAGAAGAGACTCAATGCAGAAAGAGAGACAGACAGACTCAGCAAGTACCGTGAGGTAAGTGCACATCCACAGGGTAAGGTGATAGGCTGTAAGGTCAACGAGATATCACCAACTCCAGCTTGGTCAAAATCTTGGGCGGCAGCTCTGGTCAACGCCTTGGTCAACGCTGAGTCAACGCGGACAACCCCTAGTCAACGCTTGGTCAACCACCCTGGTCAACGCCTAGTCAACCCTCTGGTCAACCCTTGGTCAACCCTCTGGTCAATGGTCTGGTCAACGCCCGGTCAACCCCTCACCTCGGCTATGGCTGCCGGCACCTTCACCTTCGTCACCCTCGCCGTTTACTTCCCCTTCACTTTCTTTCTTCGTCTCTTTCGCCTTTTTTTTCTTTTTTTTTTTTGTGCTTGCCCCCAGCTATGTCTGTCTTTTTCTTTAATCTCCTCCTTAGTCCCTCCTTCTCTGTCCCCCC